AAAATTAAAAAAAAAAAAAAAAAGGTTCCCTTATGTCTGTTTATAGTAAATCCCTGCTCCCACCCCCAGTCCTAGGTAACCACTGATCTGCTTTCGGCCTCTATACATTTGCCTATTGTGAACACTTTATATAAATGGAATCATTTAATATGTAGTCTTTAACATCTTTCATTTTGACATAGTATAATATTTCTGAGATTCATCGAAGTTGTAGCATACGCCAATAGTTTATTAATGAATAATATTCCATGTTATGTATATACCACATTTTGTTCATACATTTCCCAGCTCTCCGTGTCCATCCATACGATAAAAAATGAGCCAGATGTTCATGAGACCTGGGACTTCTGGGAAAATTTAGCCATGGATGGTCATAAAGAATAAATCACACAATGTTGTGCTCAACATCATTATCGACATTACCACAGAAAGTGAAATTTAGTTTCAGAAAGGGTTCTCAGTTGCCTTTGGGAAGTATGGATCTTTTAATTGAGTAAGAGGTTTTATTGCTTTCTTTGGATCAGTCACATATTATCTACCTAACTAATGCATATCTGATTAAGCCATCAACATACAGATTATAGTTTTCAGGGACTTATGTTAAACAGATTAATTCTTTTTTTTTTATTGTACTTCAGGTGAAGGTTTACAGAACAAATAGTTTCTCATTAAACAGTACACATATTGTTTGCAAGCTGAGGAATTTTAAGCATTGTGACGTTATTGGAGGGTTTGGGTAACTTCATTTTGTTTGTAATCAAGGATTACCAGATGAAATTGAATGTTTTTAAAACTTCATAGAGTGATGGTCAATAAGATCGATTAGAAGAGGGAGAGACTGGAGACCACTTAGAAAGCTGTTGCAGTCATCCGGACCTAAGTTGATAAACCTTTGGAAGTAAAAGTGAAAAAGGACAGAGAAATTGAAGAAACTTTCTCAATAGGCTTGGTGACTTAATAGTACATGAAAGAAAAGGAGAAATCAAAGATGTCTCTAAGGTTTTCAGTTTGATCAGTTTGGGCACACTGAGCAATGTCTAAATTGAAAACAAGTTTTTTGGCCAAGAGTTCCAAGTTAAGGCTTGATATAGTACTGCTAGTGGACAATGGGGTAAGGAGAGGAGAGAAGACTCGGCAGTCTTCTTTAGACCATCACACCAGCAGGCAGGATAACTGCCTCATCATAGTCTCAGAAGGACTAGTCTGGCCCCAGATCTCAGCCTTCTCGTAGTGCCTTTTCAGATGTCCCAGAGAACAAAAAGCATATTAGATGAGTATCCCCTAAACTTTGATGGGGTGAGTTCAGTATCTCCTGATCGATACTCGGTATGGCATGGAAAGAACCATCTTCCGGTATTTTACTGTCCTTTCTTGGGTCTGTGAAGGTAATATACAAACTCTTCACAATGGATTTAACATTTGTGACTACCAGGGAAGATGACAGATAGAATCTGATTCTATTTGACAAGTGGTAGAGATCCTAGGGTTAGGGCTAATGGAGCAAAGAAGCACTTAGTTCACATTCTTCCCTTATTCCGCCACCACTAGAGTTGAGTAAATCTTCCAGAAATCTTCACTTTTCACTAATTGGTATTTTATTTATGTCAGTGCCTAAACATTACAAAGGCCTGCATCCACTACATGCAAAGTAGGGGAAAATTGCAAAACCTAGAATAAGTTGGGTGGAAAGGGCATGTGGCCCAAATTAAAAGTGAACAATATGTATGTAGAGGGCAGTGGTGGTTCAGTGATAGAATTCTTGCCGTCTACATGGGAGACCAGGTTCGATTGCACCTCAGGCACAGCCACCACCTGTCTGGTCAGTGTTGGCTTGAGTATTGCTATGATGCTGAACAGGTTTCAGCAGAGGTTCCGGACTAAGACTAGACAGAAATGCCTGATGATCTACCTCTGAAAATCAGCCGGTGAAAATTCTATGGATCACAGCAATCTGATCCACAATCGATCATGGAGATGGTGCAGGACCAGGCAGGATTTCATTTCATTCCATTGTGTATGGGGTTACCATGAGTCAGGGGCCAAGTTGACAGCAGCTAACAAAAAGTGTGTATGTAGTGCTTATATTGTGGGGTGGTATCTTCAGCTAACGATTCATTCATTTATTCAACAAATGAAATGAAATTCTAATATATGCCAGGTACTATTCTAGACTGTAAGACTGCAACAGTGAACAAGACACATTTCACATATCAGGGAGCTTATATTACATTGGGAGAGACACAATAAACAAAGGAACATATAGTGAAAAGTGCTTTGAAGAAAAATAAAGCAGGGTAAGAAGACGGACTGACAGAATTGGCTTAAGTTTTAATTAGTGAAGTGGTGATTGTTAGTTGCTGTCAAGTCGATTCCAACTCAGCAATCCCATGTGACAGTAGAACTGCTCCATAGAGTTTTCTTGGCTGTAATCTTTATGGAAGCAAATCGCAAGGTCTTTTTCCCAAAGAGCCAGTGGGTGGGTTCGAACCCACCAACCTTTCAGTTAGTAGCTGAGTGCTTAACTGTTTGTGTGCCACAAGGGCTCCTTAATTAATAGCGTAAACCCAAACCCACAGCCGTCGAGTCGATTACAACTCATAGTGACCCTATAGGACAGAGTAGAACTGCTCCATAGGGTTTCCAAGGCTGTAAATCTTTACTGAAGCAAACTGCCACATATTTCACAAATTAGTAGGGTAAGATGCCCCAAATATGTCACTTGAATCCAGCTTAATGCCATTCTGTCTCTAGTAGATCGATAATAATAAGAAATTCCCTCTGGGATTTGTTGTGAGGGTTCAATAAGATAGCATGAAAATATTTTGTGATCTATAAATGCTAAACCGATGATACTGATTTCTAATTACATATGCATATAGTGTGTGTATACATACTGTACTAGATACTAAGGTTTTATTTTTGCTTTATGTGGCATAATACTAGGAAAACAACTTCCCACCTGTTACTTGGCCAATTTTATTAAAACTTGTTATTTAAAGTTGTTTTAAAAGTATATGGAGAAAGTTATATGGGCTCTTCTCCCACCAGCAGTGACATTCATGCTGAGTTTGGACATTTCCTGGGCCCCAGTGCTATCTTCTGCTCAGCCCATGGGGTAAGAGGGCTCATTTCTTCATGGAGATCTCAGAGACATGCAGAGGTATCCCAAAGTATCCAGGAGAAAAACGTAATCCCCTTTGGAGCTAGAAACTCATACATTTGTTCAAATCTACAGCAAAGAATGTGGTCAGCTGCTCAGTAGGGAGCACGCAGCCAAGGTACATATTTTCACCTCACCATCCCTTCCAGATTATTCTGCACTTGGCTGTGAGCTCTGGGCCCAGAGCTGGGGTGGGAGACCAGAATCAAATATTTTAAAAGCCAGCAGCTCCA